GGTCTGTTAGGAGGTCTGATAGGAGGTCTGATAGGAGGTCTAATAGGTCTGATAGGAGGTCTGATAGGTCTGATAGGAGGTCTGATAGGAGGTCTGATAGGAGGTCTGATAGGAGGTCTGATAGGAGGTCTGATAGGTCTGATAGGAGGTCTGATAGGTCTGATAGGAGGTCTGTTAGGAGGTCTGATAGGAGGTCTGATAGGAGGTCTGATAGGAGGTCTTTAGGAGGTCTGATAGGAGGTCTGATAATCAACAAGAGAAAAAAATGGGCACTGAAAATAGGAACTGAAAACCAAACTGGACGAATAAAAATGGTAACAGAAACCTGTGCTAATCTTTTAGGAATATTATGATATTTATTATTCCAATCATTAATAGTATTGTAACCGATGGTAGAAACAAAGTGTTTGTGGGTTAGATGAAGCCTTTCTTCCCTACAGAGGACAGAGCTGGGCTGAGAACTGAGCTCCTCGTTGTGTTTCTGGGTTTCAGGTCGGCGTCTGTGAGAAGTTCTCTCCGGTCCAAAACCATGACGGGGGCTAAAACTCCCAGAATGCACCTGTCCCCCGGCAGAGGCTCCATCGGGTCCATGCAGCCCGAGCAGGTGGACAGGGTTTTCCAGGCTCTCCGCAGAGGACTCAGGCACGTAAACTCCCACATGAACTTCAACAGTGGATAGTGAAGCCGTTAATATGAGCGGAGAAACGTCTAAAGACCAGAGAACCAGAACCAGAAGCTATAGGAACTGGTTAATGTGTGCAGGGTTAGGGTTAGAGTTAGGGTTAGGGTTAGGGTTAGGGTTAGGGTTAGGGTTAGCCTAGCCCCCCTTCAGGACTCCTGTTTCTGGCTGGTGTGTGCAGGGTTAGGGTTAGGGTTAGGGTTAAACTCCTGTTTCTGGCTGTGCAGGCAGCATCTGGAGGGTCAGGGTTAGGGTTGGGGTTAGGGTTAGGGTTAGGGTTAGGGTTAAACTCTTGTTTCTGGCTGTGCAGGCAGCATCTGGAGGTTCAGGGTTAGGGTTG